GGGGAGAGGAAAAGGTCGATGGAGGTAGAGGACACCTCATGTTCAAAGACACCAAGGGATGAGGTGACAGGAGTTGGACAAGGGAAAATTTTGAGCATGCCAGAGACTGTACTGAGATTGACAAAAAACCAAAAACCAAAACAGGTAGTGAGTATTTATTCCATCCTAGTGATCTGTTGCTATTACAACAAATACCACAAGTGGGTATGTTAAGAACCATAAATTTATTTTCTCACACTGTTGGTTGGCGCTGTCTAGTCAGTTCCAACTTATCCTGACCTGATGTACAACAGAAGGAAGCACTGTCCAGTCTCGTGACATCATCACCATTGGTCCTTTGTTTGAGCCCATTGTCACAACTCTGGTCCAGGGTTTTCCCCTTTTAGCTGCCCCTCCACTTTACCGAGCCTGAAGACCTCCCGGGACTGCATGCTCCTGGTATCCTGTTCAAAGTGTGTCAGACAAAGTCTTGCCATCCTTGTCTCTGAGGATCAATCAGGCCATCTTTCTTCCAAGTGAGGAGAGTATGGTAATTAGGTGCCATCGGGTCTGCTCTGATCCATAGCGACCGTGTGCACAATAGAAACACGGCACGGCCCTGTGCATCCTCACAATTGGTCCTCCGTCTGAGCCCACGTGTCCATCCATCTCATTGAGGGTCTTCCTCTTTTTCATTGCCCTTCCACTTCACCAAACAGGATGTCCTTTCCTGACAAGACACCCAAAGTATACGAGACAAAGCCTTGCCTTCCTTGCCCCTAAGGAGCACTCTTGCTTCACTTCTTGCAGTGGGACCAGGAGCCCAGATTCAGACTTTTGTCTTTGGTTCTATCAGCTTCTATACAGTACTTTATATAATTCTCCACTCAGAAATCTTACTGCTTTAACATAACAAAGCAAACCCAGTCCCACCTGGGGCTCTAACCACAGGTGTTTGAAAACGAAGTTGATTCCAATTCCTACTGACTGTAGAGGGTACCGTAGAACAGCCCCATTCATAGCCTCCTTTTCAGTCTTTGGGCCTGTGCTCAGGAGAGCTCAGTTCCTGGAAGAGAGCATCGTGTTGGAGAGAGTGAAAAGGAGGAAGAGCCTCAAGAGGACGGACTGACACAGTGGCTGAAACAGTGGGCTCCGACGTAACAGTTGTGTGGCTGACTTCGTATCCCCTTCCGTTGTGCATTGTATTGCTTGGATTTGGGACAGAGTAGCGGCATTGAACCAGAACAACGCAATCTTTATGGCATCCGCTTGTCCAGGCTTTCTCAGTGGAGTGATTGGTGGGTTCAAACTGCTGACCTTCTTGTCAGTTCACCACTTAACTCATTGTGCCACCAGGGCTCCTAATCATAGGTAGAGAGATGAGGATCAGTCACATATATTTGAGGGCAACACCATTCAACCTCAGAAATTTTTTTTCTTAAAAAAAAAATTAATAGCAACGAGAGCTAAATTGCTAGCTAATGCAACACCTTTTTCATGATAAGTGTTTCTATCTTCACGAAACACACACACACACCGCACCATACCACACCACCTATATCCATTCTAGCTACTTTAAAAAAAATGTCCAGGCTAGGCTGATATATTAGTTTTGATAGGATCCAACATTTTTGTGTTCCTTGTCACTACGTTTGATTGCCTGTCTTGCTTCTGCTTGCAATACTACATGAGTCTCTTCTTCAATGACTTGGCGACATGGAGCTACATAGCACCAAACGATCATAATTGAATGCAAGGCTCCATCTGGGTGCCTATGAATGAGGAATGGAAGTGTCTGTTGAATTTTCTTGGGAAGAATGAGAGTCAAGGCCAAAGTCGGCAGATCACCAGGATCCCGGTGACACAAATAGCCCATGCTTGCTTTAAAGACCTCCCTCTTTTCGCCAGCTCGGCGACGTGATGGTCGACATTGCGAGTAACATCATGTTGGCTGACGAGCGAGTCCTGTGGCTGGCTCAGCGGGAAGCGAGAGCCTGCAGTAGAATCGTTCAGTGTCTGCAGCGGATCGCCACCTACCGCCTGGCCAACGGAGCTCACGTTTACTCTACAGTAAGTGCACTGGGATGATACAAGTGCATTGGTGGATGGGTGGGGGGAACGCAAGGAGCCCCGCTGGCATGGTTGGTTATTTGTTGGGCTACCAACACACAAGGTCAGTAGTTTGAACCCACTGGCCACCCCAAGAGTGAAAGATGAGGCTGTCTTTTCCTATAAAGATGTACAGCCTTGGAAACCTACAGGGGCTCTTCTACTCTGTGCAGTAGGATCACTATGAGACAGAATCTACTCAATGGCAATGAGTTTAGGTTGGGTTGGGTGGCACACATGGTTAAGCACTTGCACGAGCTGGAAGACAGGCAGCTCAAACGCACCCAGAGAGAATGCTTTGGAAGTAAGGCCTGGCAGTCTGCCTCCAAAAGGTCCCGCCTTGAAATTCCATGGAGCATGGCTGTCCTCTGCATGCTCGCCACCTGGTCACCTTCAGTCAGAAGTAACTGGGCAGCAAGTCCCAGCAACTACAGTGGAACCCTACGTAGGCCCAACTGAACAGCTTTACATTTTTTGATGTACTACTTAGTTTTCTAGGAAAAATATGTCATACCTGATGGTTTATTCCCCCAGCAGTTGGATCCAGGTTTTACATTCCCAATTTTGTGAGATGTTATCATTTTCTGTTCTATGTGATTTCAACTTACATGCCCCCCGCACCCCTGAAATGATTTCTAGTACCTTTTCTGATGATAACCATTTTACTGATAATAACCATGTTTTATTGTTTCTTTGGTGCCATGACATTTAGGACCGTGTTTTTGAGTAATTAATAAAAATGGAAACCTTGCCTGGTTATTGCCCTAAACCGAACCCACTGCCATTGTTTAGACTTCAACTCCTGATGACCCCATGCAGGGTTTCCGAATCCGTAAAGCTTTGCCGAGCAGACAGCCTCTTCTTGCTCCTTTGATGTAGACCCAGAAGCCCACAGGCACACTAAAGGTCATACCGGGTATCCGAACACCATTGCAACATGTGAAAAAGATCATATACATTCTGGACATTTCCTTTGGAGCCCTTGTGTAGTGGTAACACATAGGGCTGCTAACTGCAAGGTCAGCAGCTTGAAACCAGCACCCTCTCTGTGGGAGAAAAAGGAGGCTCTCTACACTCATAAAGATTTACAGTCTTGGAAACTCACAAGGGCAGTTCTACCCTGTCCCGTAGTGTCCCTATGAGTTGGCATCGACTTGGTGGCTTGATGGCTTTTTGTGGTTTTATTGCTTTGGTTATACATTTGCTTATACTAAGTAAAGCTGATACAGCTTCAAGCACACCTACTAGACTCAGTGGATTGCTTTCTTCTTCCTGAAGCTTCACAAATCTGTGTTGGTCGTGTATATTGCTATTTATCAGAAGTCATGGTGGTGGTGTATATATGCCTTCCCCTAATAGAAATTTGGGAGAGAGAAGACTGGCCAATAAACGCATTTATTAACAAACTTTCCCACAAGATAAACAATCTACCGAGCCAAACCAAGTGCAAAGATCCCTTAATAATGGAGATCTGGGGACTGGCTCAATGCTTTTCTCTCCCATATATGGCAGTGATGGATTCTATCATTGTTTAAAGGTGTCTTGAGTTGTGCCTAATCTGAATGTCCTACACCAGACTGCCATGTACAGGGCCTTCAAAAAATTCAGGGAATACTACATGATCTCCAAATTCCATTTGTTCCATTTACTTTCTGAGGTTCAAGGAGCCCTGCTGGCATAGTGCATCCCTCATTGGTCTGCTAACCTCAAAAGTCAGCCATTCGATCCCACCTGTTGCTCTTAGAAGAGAGATGAGCCTTTCTGCGCCAGTAAAGCTTGACCACCTTGGAAAGCCAAAGGAGCAGGTCTGCTCTGGCCGGTAGGATCGCGATGAGTTGCACACAGTTGGGTGCCAGCGATCAATCTTTATTGGTTTTTGGTTTGTTTGTTTTTCTT